GCTGAACCCAAAGGAAAAATCAAGGCGCAAAGCAGAAGACAGGAGGCGGATCCATTCCCACTCTCTCGTGGCGCCATGGAGGGTCGCGTCGATGAGCCTCGGGCCGAGAGGAGAAGAGGGGGCGATTCTGCCAGTCATGGTCAATCTAGCTACGGGGTTCAGCCATTGCGTTCCACGGGTGGCCTTCGTGAGCCTTGACGCGATTGATTCTCGACGGCACAACTGAACTGCAATGCGATAAAGAGAGAAAGAGAGAAAGAGAGAAAGAGACAAATAGAGAGAGAGAGAGAGAGAGAGAGAGAGAGAGAGAGAGAGAGAGAGAGAGAGAGAGAGAGAGAGAGAGAGAGAGAGAGAGAGAGAGAGAGAGAGAGAGAGAGAGAGAGAGAGAGAGAGAGAGAGAGAGAGAGAGAGAGAGAGAGAGAGAGAGAGAGAGAGAGAGAAGAGAAGAGAGAGAGAGAGAGAGAGAGAGAGAGAGAGAGAGAGAGAGAGAGAGAGAGAGAGAGAGAGAGAGAGAGAGAGAGAGAGAGAGAGAGAGAGAGAGAGAGAGAGAGAGAGAGAGAGAGAGAGACAAAAAAAGAGAGAGACCATGTGCCTCGCAAGCAAATGACTGGGATCGTTTGTGGCACAACCGAGAATAGCGCCCACAGCGTGTTTGGAATACGAGTTGATGCTTGCAGGGGAGGCAATGCTGGCGCACAGCGCAAGACAAATGATGTCGATGAGAGACCAGCAAATGGCAGGTACCCCGTGATGCGGTATATCAGAAAGCGGCAAGACAGATGAGGCGGCGCATGAATGTGCCCACAATCCCGACCACCACACCCCGCAAATGAAAGGTTGCCTTCATCATCCGGCAACAGTTTTATGCTGGGCCAAGCTCCATCATCTGCCGCATCTGGACGCATGGGCCCGTCTGTAAAGTATTGGAACTGTGCGCTGTTGCTCCAGACTCGTGTTTCGGGGGAGCATTATAACGTGGCGTGCCGCGCTGGGAATGGTAAAGTGTCTAGCTCCAAGTCAGCATTCCAATCTGGCATTGTCGCTGTCCTGGTGATGTCGCATACTGTCTGCTCACTTTCTGGCATGACAACAAAAGAATGGCAAAGCATGGGCAACGGCGGAGGGGCTCCAAGGGGGGTTCGCTTGGCTGGATCTCAGGGGGGCCGCTGCCACCACGCATGTCCTCGATGGGCGCTTGCCCGTTCACATCAGCAGGTCCATTGATAGGGGTGGAGTCGGAAGCCCTCGCTCATGAACTGGGGGCCCCGTCGCACCCTGGATGCGGCCAGACGGCGTCGCACGCTCAGGGAATTTAAGCCGTGCCCCCTGGGCGGGGTCGCCCTGGCCGGGGTCATCGAAATGGAGCGGGCACGATCGAATTGAGCCTGCCAGCTCATCATCTCCCTCGTGGAGAAGCGCGGCGAGCACCAGAGCGATGCGGGCCCGCGCGTTGTAGTCGACTGCCTTGCACTGGATCGCCGCAGCAATGGAGCTGACAGTGACATGAGAGTGATGCTGGTACTCTGGCACGGGCACAGGCTGCTCCCATTTTTCCACAACGATGGGTCCCTCGCGGCACGCGCTGTGTCCTGGCTGACCTTCGTCAGCCTGGGGAATGCGCGAGCTCTGCTGAGGCTCGGCGCTGGCGGCGGCGCCGACCGCCGCAAAATCAGACCGGCTCTCATAAGACTGCGTTTCGCCAGGCCCCAGGGCCTACCAGGACCAGCTTCCCACTGGCGGAGCGCTCCGCGGGCCCTGTTGGGCCCCTCGCAGGTGGGCCGGATATTTTTGGATTTCGCTTCGGTCTGCTGCCTTCGTCCATGTCCTCGTCTCCCTCGGCGTTGCCAACGTACTCGTGAATCTGCTCGTCGCCCCAGTGGACGGTTCATGGGACGCTGCCTGTGGTCCTCCCGGTTCGCGATGCGTTTCATTGTCCATCTCTGCGGGCGCAACAGGTGGTAGAACCACCTCAGGGGGCGCACCTGGCGTTGCGCCTGGTTCGGGACCTGGTTGGACTTCCAAAGATACGGCGCGATCGAAATCGCCCAGACCTGGCCCGCTCACTGCTCGACCCATTCGATCGCGCGCCACCCGCGGCGCCTCTTGGGCAAAGCGTGCCTCCATCCGCCATTCGTCGTTCGAGTCCCTCCCCACGTTGGCCGCGGCCCTGGTGCGCTGACTGCGGCGGGGGAGTCCACGTGCCCAAGCTTGAGCGCACACGTCGCACGCGGCTTGCATGAGTTCAGGAAATGAGCCGAACGTATGGCTGAAGATCGGGGCGGACTGAAAGATATTGGCAACATAGGGGATGCAGTATATCATCCAGTCACGTCTGGCGAAGTCGTCTCTGAATAAGTAGCGGTCAACACTCCATGCCGAAGAGCGGTCGTGCACTGCCATGAGTAGCCCTCCGCCGTGCATGAAACTCAGCTTGGTGTCCCATAGGCATGGATTTAGTGCTAGGCGGTAGCTCCATGTCATCGCAGATCGTCGTCGTCTTCACAATATTCTTTACCGCGGTCTGGCATCGGTTGACGGAGTCGCTGCCCTGGCCGCCCCCGTGCTGTTCGTCTGGCACGGGTGTTACGAAACGTCCAAATCCGAGTTGAGCTGGGACGCCCGCCCCTGCGTTCTGATCAACTGCTGGTTGTTGAGTCTCGGCTTGCATGGCTGCGGTTTTCCCCCAGGGGTTGTATCTGGCACTGGAACAGCATGGGCTGGATGAGGAAGTGGTCCGCCTCGTTGGACTGTGGCCACTACACTTGTGGACAGCAACTCATATCTCCTGATTCGGGCACCAGCACTGTCGTCACACTGAATCTCATGGGTTCTTGATGCGAGCTGCCGCCAAGCTCGAGAAATCCGAGCTTGCCGTTCAATCATGTGCGCTGCCCAGCCGAAAACGTCCCGTGTAAGTAGAGCTGCAGTACGTTGGTTGAAATTGAAGCGCACAACTCCCCAGCTGCACCAGACTCCACTGCACATCCCGATGGCGGCTTCATTGCACTGGCTCCATCTCATTGCCGTCGTGGTAAGAAGTTCTTGGCGTACCGCAGGGGCGCACCAATCAAGCCAAGCCGCGCGTGCTGACTCGATAGACCACACAAACATCGCTGTTCCATGCATCAACTTGGAGTCGCATTGTATGTTCAAATTGCCCACTGGGAGGTAGCAGGCGTCGTTGTCCGAGCTGGTCGTCTCGACGCTGGTGTAGGTGAGGAGGCTCTGCAATTGTCCCAAAAGAGCGCATCCATCTTGTTCGGTATTGGTCGACCTTGCCCAGTCGATGTTCGGGGACTCGACGGTGTCTTTTGGCGGCGTCGGGCTCCATGCTACTATCGCTCTCCATATTTCCCATGGGAGCGGACTGCTGCTTGTAATGGTAGAGATTCCTGGCGACGTTGCGCCAATGACCATGAACCCTGCTATCAGTCAGTGTGGAACAGGATGCGCTGCGGCTGATGCTGCTGTTGCTGCTGCCATGCCCCCTCCACCATCCGCTGGCGTTCCTGCGACTTGAGCTGGGAGCTGGAAGCATTTGTGGGCTGCTGGATTCGGGTCGCCTCCGCTGCCTTCTTGCGGCCTGTCGGGTACGGCTCCGATGCCACGTTGCCTTTTGCCGTTGCCCTTGCCACCGAACTGAACCATCAGGTTGTGGAACTGGTCCGCTCCTGGCCCTGGCAGGTGCGGCGACTCTTGGGTGGGTCCACCTGGCTGTGTTGTTGCCAGCAAGGCTGGGTCCACCCACGGCGTCGCTGCTGTGCGTATGTCCTCGGCGTCCTCGGCTGTTGGCGGTGGCGAATGCGGCGGTCCCCTGACTAGCTCCCACTGTACCAACTTAGGCCCCTGTAGCGTGGGCCTGACTCCCTTTGGCAGCGGGCACTGTGCTCCCGTTCCTGGTCCCAGGGCGCCCTTGACCACATGCTGAACCGCCGCTGCCACTGCTGCCTCGATGTCTGGCTGAAGGTGCCCAACTGATCCCATCGCTGGCTGGCCCATCGCCGAGTCCGCTGGCTTCGCAACTCCTCCTCCTCCTCTCCTCCTCCTCCTCCTCCTCCTTCTCCTTCTCCTCCTCCTCCTCCTCCTCCTCCTCCTCCTCCTCCTCCTCCTCCTCCTCCATGGCCTCATCCTCCCTGGCCGCCTCCTCCCTGGCCTCCTCCTCCCTGGCCTCCTCCTCCTTCTCCTCCTGCTGCTCCTTCTGCTCCTCCCCCTCCTCCTCCTCCTCCTCCTCCTCCTCCTCCTCCTCGGCCCCGCTTGCTAGGGGCCTTCCATATATGGGGCCCGAGCAGACGGGGTCGGAGAGTCGCGCCGCTTCGACGATGCATCGGCGGTGCACCGACGATGCGTCGGCGACGCCAACGTGAAGCAAGACAGGATCCACACCGAGCCGCATCGCCAGTGCATCGGCGATGCGGAGCGACCCGGACCACATCTGGGAGGCACAGGCTTACTCACCCTGAGACCTGGGCGCAGGCTTCGGGCCCCAGGGCCATCGCAGGTCGATCCAGCTCGGAGAGTGCAGCAGGAAGCTGGGGTCTGGGGCTCTGGTCGGGTTGTTTTGCGATGTTTCGATTGTGTGGCAGCGTGGGAACTCAGGGGGGGTATCCACCTAGGTGGGGATATATACTCCAGGGCTCCCCGGACCCACGCCCCCTTCTCAGATGGGATGGGTTGCAAAGCCCCGCGGGCCCCCCCTCCAAGATGGGAGGAGGGGGACGACGACGACGACGACGACGACGACGACGACGATGAAGAGCCCCGAAGAATGGACTCCAACGAGGGTTCCACAGCAGCAACACCCCACACCCACAGGGGGGAGGGGGGGACCCATCAAAGGGGGCGGGCGATCCCATTAGCATTGATGGTGAGCCCCAGGATTGGACCATAATGCCTGTTCCTTCGGGTTTCGCGGAGTCTATCCCCACCTGGGAGGGTAAGCCGGTGGGGCTGAGACACCATGGCCCAGTGGGGGTAGAGATGGGTTAGGCGGTGCTGGATGCCGCGGCGGCTGGCCGGGACACGACTGGCGCAGAGCTCGGGGCGCGCACGTGGAAGCGCAGGGCCCCCGGCACGATCCCCCGGAAGGGGTTGCCGCTCTGGTCGTGGAGGGCTCCGGCGGCGATGGTCACCTCGACCCAGCCGGGGGGCAGCCCGCCAGGCAGCGTGACGGCCATCCTGTGCCCCGCTAGGCACACCCCGGAGCTGTTGGCGTGCAATGTGCGCGCCGGGCCCACGTCTGGCGTCACGACCACGGCACCTGCACCCGCAACGAGAGCCTCACTGAACTCGAACTCCAGGGCGGAGGCCGCGCTGACATTTTCGGCACGGTGCGGCGGATTGGCCACGAGCAGTGCAGGCTCTTGGTGGTCTGCACTCGGAGGCACCAGATTGAATGAAATAGTTACGCCCTGGAACATATTGTCCGATAGGTCTCGCACGACGCTCTCCGATATGACCATCCTGTACGACAAGTTGGCAACCAGAGCTGAGGTGACATCCATGAAAACCACATTCTGATTTGCAGATATCCTCACGCAGCTCGGTGGAGGAGACGCCCACGGGATGCAGCCGACGCCAGTGGTGTTACTCTCAACGCTGCTGGCATTCGATTCGGCTTCGCAGGCCAAGCCTGTCATTGGATCGACCATGAAAGTAGTCGTCGAGTTGTCACGAGCAGATGTAACCAGTATTTGACCAAACTGGACCTTGACGGACTCGTCGAATTCGAGCGCTAGCACTGCGGGCTTATCGCCAGTCGGACCGGTCGCGCGCGTCAGGGTCGGGAGTCTGGTGTCTGGCTGCTGCAGGACCTTCTCCTCGAGGTCGGTGGGCAGATCGAAGCATCCCTCCATGTAAGGCACCGTCAGCAGCACGTGCCACCTGTCCCAGCCGCCGCCCAGGTAGAACTGCACCGAGAAGCTCCGCGGGGGGCTCCCCGGGCCCAGGCCCTCTGGCCCCACCAGCCGCACCGACCTCGCGGCTGCCTTGGCGCTCGGGGCCCAGTGCACGTCCGCGATCCGCCCCGCCTGGCCGAGCGAGGTGTTCGTCGCGGCCGTGGGCAGCACGAGGCCCAGCCAGGCCGAGGCCCTCGAGACGGCGGGCTCCAGCGGGGTCCCGCCGACGTCGGCGGCGCTCTCCCAGAAGGAGGCGCCGTCGCCGTCGAAGGCCGCCGCCGCCGCGCCGCCCGCGGCGCCGCCCGTGGCGTTCGGCGCGGGGCTCCGCTCGGCGCGGCTGGAGACCGGGGCTCCTCGGAGCGGGTCGCCGTCGCAGGAGGGCTGCGCGTGGAAGGCGAGCTCCCCGACTCGCCAGCCCGTGGGGGCGGCCTCCGTCCCGTTGGCCATCGGCTCCCCTGCCACCACGCGCCAGCCGATGGGGAGCAGGCTGCCAAGGCCTGTGGTAAACGAGTGCGCCATGCCAGAGAGACCAGCAAAGGGGTTCCCTGCGATGTCTTCGACCGCATCTGGCTCCACGACGAGCTCGTACACGGTGAGGGGTGCCAAAGCACCATCCAGGGTGCCAGTCAAAACTGGCCCGCTGATGTTTATCGCGAGGGCGATGACCTCTGGATCGCGCGGGGAGTCCGCGTCGGTGTGCAAGCTCTTCACCTTCCGGATGTAGCAACTTCCATGGCCGACCCGCACATTCTCGTCGAATGTCAACTGGACTTCTTGCATGATCCCGACGGCCGTATCCCCACGCCGCGGTTGTGCCGCTACGAGCTGTGGCGGGGGGGCGCCGAGCGCCTCTGGCAACTCCCTGGCGCAGTCGGAGAGGTATCGCAGGTGGGCCAAGGTCTTGATGCCAGGCACCGTGAAGCTGCCCGTCGCCAGGGCCCCGCGCATGGCCACTGGCAGCACAGCCGGAGGCAGAACCTCAGGAGGCACAGGTGCTGGTACCGCTACTCATCCTGGAGAGTCCTCGTCACCACGGCTAGATCCTCCACGATATTCTGGTAAGAGTGCATCCCAGGAGAGGTCCCAGGAGGATAGCGATATCGGCACTCTTCTGCCCGCCCAGAACCACGGGACACTGAGGGACCATCGTGACAGCGTAGGCCTGCCAGGCGGGGATGATGGGGCTGACCACCTGCAACTCAACGCCGCTGGGGCACGTGAAGTTCACCCTCGTAGAGGATTCAGCAAAAAACATAAGCACAGACTTTCGGTGCTCCGCACGGAGCGCCGACAGTGTATGCGTGTGCCGTTGCTTCTTCTTCGACCTCAGCTGCTTGCTGCACCCCGGGGCAGGGTCGGCAACGGACGAGGGCTGGAACAGGTACTCGCACCGCATGGAGCCGTCGCACCGAGCCGAGGCGTTGCCGCCTCGGCATCTGACAACAACCACGTCGCCGACCGCACGCCACGGTCACGTGATCTGGCCAGATTGCCGCACGCAGTGGCCACGACGCCGAGAGGAGGCCCACCATGCGAATGGATCGCGTGGTGGGCGGACAGACGATTGGCGATCACTGCGATATCGACAGGCGCTCGACTGATGGGCAGAAGCCTCTGTGGTTCGCCGTAATTAAAAAGGTGTCTGCTGGCATTCGTATTGTACAGTCGGACCAAGGCCAGAAGATTATCCTTCAAGAATCTGCGACCCTCCGTCGGCCAAAACAAACAGAACATCCAAACCATACAGACAACATCCAACAGGATGCACAAAAACATCCAACAAACACGAAGAACATTAGGGTACCCTCCCCGAACCGACCTCGATCTTATACCTCGGTCCGACTGTATTCGTAGTTCGGCAACTGGGGGGCAAGACCGACGTGCATCGGAATCGCCAAGCCGGGAGATCGCGTTCGGCTTCGGGCCACGTCGCGCGTGCAGGTGGGCGAAGCAGCGAGAATTCTTGCCCAGCTAGGCCCTGGTCAAGCCGAAATGTGCGGCTTTGTCCCGCGCCTGTCCTGTGGCTGTTCCGCGATAGCTGTCCCGCACACGAACGCCGAAGGTGGCGCGCCTCTTCAAATCGGCTGTCCCCCTGGCAAAAACCAGAACTCGGCATGAAACAACACAGGGTCCTGAGGGAGACCAGTCCTGCACCCCGGAGGGCTTTCCTCGGGACCCCCTGCAGACAAGCGCGTTCCACTACTCGCAAGGCAACTACTCGCAAAGTGCCTGGATCCGCCGACGGGGATCCACGATCCATGACGTAGAAGAAGGCATGCTTTTTGTTTCGGACGTTAGCGAGTAGGCACCTTGCGAATAATGGAATGCTCGGTTAACCTGAGCGACGAAAAGAAACGACTCTTACGCGAGATGGCATCGCGACCTTCTGCGATGGTTTGCGCGGGCCACCGGCGCAGCGCGAGCCGCTTACGCGCCAACGTCGGCGCAGACGAAACCATTTTGTTGCGTCGCTCACCTTTGAAGGGGCCCTGGGACACACAAATAAATACACACAAATAACAAGATTCCCCATATTTTCCCATATTTTCTGGGTTTCTGTCTGCCCCCCCACTTCCCATATTTTCCCATATTTTCTTGGGAATCGACGATTAATTGTGTCTGTGTGTTTTTTCCCCTCCTGAATAACTTTGGGTACGGCTAACTCGAGCATCTCTGCGATGCGGCGGCTCTGGAGGACGCATCGGGCGCCGCGGCCCCCTCTCGGAGAGCGCCCCGGAACGCCCCGGGACGCACTTGCCCCCGCCCGTCCTGGCCCCGCCCGACACCTGTTCACGCTCTCGTTCTTTGATAGAGGAAAAAGAACTATCTATGCACATACACCGATTCTGGCCAGGCCCATCCTGAGCCCAGGATCGGTGCATACGCCCTCCTACCTTGGCCAGGAAGGCATATGCACCGATCATGGGTCAAGGATGGGCCTTGCCAGGATCGGTGCATGTGCATAATTCTCTTCGCCCGATTTGACGGCCCATGGATTTGGACGCCCGAAATGGGCACGGGAAGAATGGGCACCGTGCCCAACAACAGATGCTGTCCCAAGCCAGCAGCGGCCGCTGCTGGGGCAGGCGGCCTCCTGTCTCCAGGGGACACAGGCCGCGGCGGCGCGGACAGCGAGCCCTGCTCAACATGAGCAGGAACTGCTGTTGGGCACTGTACCCCTTCTTTCCGTACCCATTTCTTTCGTGCAGAATGGACGCCCGAGGAGGCCAACCAAAACTTCCCGGGCCAACCAAGACAAGCCATTTCAGACCTCCCGCGTGGGAGAACCCTCCAAAACATCGTCCCCAGACCCCCCAGGCCCTCCAAGATAGCCTGGAAGAGACCCCCCCCCCGAAAGGAGACCCCCCTCCCTTTATTACGAAATCTGGAGTGCCCACTCTTTCCCTACCCATCTCGTTCGTGCAGAATGGACGCTCGCGGAGGCCAACCCAACACTTCCCGGGCCCGATGGCCAGGTGCCTCAATGTGCTGGGCAGGCGCGCTCGGGGCGCACCGCGGCTCTCGTTGCCGCGTCGCTGCGCCGCGGCCAGCTGCGGAGTCGCTGCCTGCGTGGCCCCGGCGCAGCGACCACGGGGGGGTGCTGCGATGCTTCCGTGCACCGATGGTCCCGCCAACCTCTGCTTGTGGCGCGAGTTGGGGCCTCTGAATAACACCGCTGTGAGCTCCCAGCCCCCCAGTCCTGTGAATCTCTCTCGTGCTCCATCCTTCTCCCTCCCCCTTGTCCTTTCCCTCCTCCCTCGCTTCCCCTGCTTTGGGGGCTGCGCCAACCACATGTGGCAGGTCGGGAAGAGATGCCGCCATCAAGGGGGGTACGACCGAAATCGAAGAGAGTGGGCATCAAGGGTCTGGAACGTACATCCCGATTGGCACCTGCGGAGACGAGAGCGAACAGCCTGAACATGATTGTGGTTGTCGCTGGCCGCTTCCCTCGGCACCCGCTTGCTGCATCGCTGCGAGCCCCCCACGCCCCCGCGGCTGTACCCCCGCGAGGCCCGAGGCGGTCGGGGTGGGCAGGCCCGCAGCCGGGGAGGCGCGGCGCTGTTCTGCCGTCTTGTGTTGCCGTGCTGCCGGGGAGCTGGAGAGACAAGGGGGCGACGACGAGAAACGGGTCTGACGCGAGACGGCGTAACCGACATTGCGCGGCGGCGTACGCGCGCCGCCGGCGCGGCCAGCTACATTGGAGACGAGGGCGCCCGCCCGCGACCTTTCGCGGGCAGCTTGCGCGCCAATGTCGGCGCAATGGAACCTATTTTTGCTCGTCGCTCACGTGGCCACAAGTGGAACCAGGCGAGTCCAGATTCGGATCGAAAAGCCGGCTCGGCGATCGACATGGATCGGATCGGCGAAAATGAGCAGCCGAGGCAAAAGAAATCAAGCCGGCGGACATCGGCATGCTAGTCGGCCTCCATTGAGAAATCGGGATCCAAGTGGGAGTCCGAAGTCCAATCGAATCGGAATCGGAAGCTATCGATCTCGAATCGAACCGAATCGGAACAGTCGAAAAGAGCCCTGTGGAACCTTCGGAACCCACACGCTGGACACACACACACACACACACACACGCACACATGGTGGGTTCTGGAAACCCTGCACAAAAAAAAGAAGTGTCATCTCTTGAGAGCGCAGATTTTTTTCCAACGGCTTCCGCTGGCGGGGCCGCCCTGGTTGTGTCCGGACGCGCAGTACCCCCAATGATCATTCGGCTCAAGAACTTTCGTGTGGAGCACTATGCTGAACCGGAGGCCCGACGAAGAGCGAGCAAATGCAGGTGTCCATCTTCTCTGACCGAGGAAGAGATGGCCACTCCGCCGCCGGCTTCCGCCGACCCTTCGCCGCATCCCGCCGAGGAGAAGGTTAAGGTCGGGCATGCCCTCCTACGGGCGGATTTTGGACGAATAGTTAAAACTAGTCCAACAATAACCCGCACATAACCCAAAGAGCAAGAAAAGCCGTCCCCAGACTATTGTTTGACTATCATTGCAAATTCCTCCTGTAGAGGCACATGCCCGATCTGAGAATCGGTGGCAACGCCTCCGAACCTCGCAGACGAGGCCGGCCCCTCCCGGCAGCGCTCCGTGTATGTGGAGGGCCACAGCGCCTGGCCGCAAGCACGAGGGCCGGGCGCCGGAGAGAGACACCTGGCCACACGTGAGTATGCAGCCCTCGCCCAGGCCGGCTGCGCCATCTGCATCCCACTTGCTGGCACACACTGTTGGGACAAAAGAAGAACAAACGGCATAACCATACACTTTTGGCGCTCCGCGCGGGTTTTTGGAATCTGCGCCATAACCCCCCTCCCTGGCGCGCGGAGCGCCCCAAGGGGGGCGCCCGAGGCGCCGCCGGGGGGGGGGAGGGAGCCCAGCGCGGGCGGATCCAAGGAATCTGCGCGGAACGCCAAAAGTGTATGTTTATGGCGTTTGTGTTTTTTTTTTGTGCCGATGAGAGACACATGCTGGACAAAATCCAAGACGAGTTGACGATGGGCCTCCGTGGACACTGGGGTCCTCGCCACGGCCCTGGAGCTCCGCCTGGCCCGAGCAGTCGCGAGCCTCGCCGGCGTAGAAGGTCGTGGGCACCCCCTGCCACACCTCGCCGAGCACGGTCATGCCTGCGACCTGCACGCAGTGGACGGCATCGCTGTCTGCTATCGCCGTCGGCGCTGGGGTCGGCGCGTCCGTGGCGTTGCTGGAGTTCGCGCTGGCGTTCTCCGTCGAGGCTGCGCTGCTCTCCTCGCTGCTGGGGACGCTCTCCCAAACCCCCGACGTCGTGCTTCCTGTCTTTTTCACAATTGGGCGATGATTAACGCGAGGTGACGTCGCGACATGACGCCGCGGCTTACGCGGGCCGCCGGCGCGGCACGCCACAGTGAAGACGAGGGCGCTCACGCGCGACCTTACGCGGGCAGCTCACGCGCCAATGTCCGCGCAGACGACCCCGTTTCTTTGCGTTGCTCAATGGAGACCCCCGAAGGTAAGCGTTTCTTTTCATTCGGCGCTTCGACATTGGGCGGAGGGGGGGGGGGGGGGATCTGGAAAGGGACTCTGCTCAATGCGAGTGTCTGCAACGGTGCGCCCCCTGGGGGAGGGCACCCGCCTTCTCGAAGCAGGCGCCCTAAAAGAACAACCGAGATCTGCTCCACGGGAGGGGGGGTGTTTGAAGCCCGCGCCGAGGCGCGCGCCAGGCGGGGCGCCCCGAGACTAGCGGCGCCTGCGCAGCAGATGTCGGCCCCCCCCCTTTCCCCATCCGCCCCCGGCGCCTGCCCCACGCAGGCGAGCCCCGAACTCAGAAGCACAGCGTGGGCCCCTGGAGGTCTCGTCCCCATTCCCGGGGACCGGCTTGCCTTCCCGTCGCGACCTGTCGCGGCGCGAAGATGAGAGGGATTAGAAAATCCAACGTTATCATCCAGAAAAATCATGACCAGAGCTCCATAGACCCGATCTGTCTCCAGAGCCATCTGCGACGGTCCCAGGACCCGACACTGAGCGAAAAACGCACAGTGAAAAAATCGCAACGCCCCGGTCTCCAAGTGAGAAGCCGAGAATCCTGCCACGTGGTGCGGACCTGCCACGAGATCCGTTCAAGATATACAGTCATCGGCCTGACCAAGGAACGATAAATAAGGAACGAACCCTCTTTTTTACCCCAAGGAATAACGCATAAGGAACGATAAATAATACATAACGCATAAGGAACTGTAAATAACGCATGTAAATCTAAGGAACGACCGAGTCCCTTTTGAAAAGTAAGTGTTCCTTATTCAAGCCGCTCACTGCAATCTGGAAGCGGATCCAGCCGTGGCGACGAAGGCGCTGCAGGAGGCCCAATCAAGGGGCGAAGCACGTCCAAGTGCGATTCTCGAACCTCGAAGCTCTATGAGGGATCCTCGGAAGCGTCGGAGAGGTTCACGCAGAAGAGGCCCAGCCCAGCCGGATGCCGAATTTTGGGCTGCAGCTCGGGCCTGTGGCACCCCCAGAACGCTCTGGACGAGGCGCAGCGGCTGCAAGGCAACCCGATGAAAGAAAACCTCCGAGACCGACAAAACCTCCAGACACCCCGAGCCGAGGTTTCCAGGGGATCTCCCTTAAGACGCGAGGATGTCATGGCCTGGAACATGAGGATCAAGCCCGGACCAGTTCCAGGGTGGGCTCTGGAGGGAATTTCAACACTGACCCAGCCGTGGCGACGAGGAGCCCCCTCCTTCACCGTCCAGAGTGCCAGCAATTAGCCCTCCAGACCTATGGAATTCTCAGGACTGCTTGAAACAACGACAGGAATTTGCACGTCGAGGTCCTGGTGCTAACTGTTTAGCCCTCCTGGAAGGTCAGGGCCTGGAGGCCCAACAAAAATAGCACCTCAAACTTCGAAGCCAAACTGAACAACAACGCCAGCCTCAAACTTCGAACCTAAAAACAACAACCGAATCTAAACTAAATAACCTAAAACTGATCAACAAACTAACCTAAAGCAAAAACACATAACAAACTATTATGTATCAAATAACCTTTAAAAAAACAATCGAGTCTAAAACAAATAACCTTTAAAAACAAATCCATTATAAATCAAATAACCTAAAGCTGATCAACAAACTAACCTAATACAACTAACACAGAACAAATCCAGCCTCAAACTCCGAGGCTTCGCGAGGCTGCCATGGGGGCCCTCGGCAGGCTCGGAGGCCCAGCCCCTCCTCCTCCTCCTCCTCCTCCTCCTCCTCCTCCTTGTCCTCCTCCTCCTCCTCCTCCTCCTCCTCCTCCTCCTCGCTGCCTCGCTTCCCTCCCTGTCCTCGTCCTCGTTCCCCTCCTCCTCCTCCTCCTCCTCCTCCTCCTCCTCCTCCTCCTGCTCTTTCTCCTCCTCCTCCTCCTCCTCCTCCCCCTCCTCCTCCTCCTCCTCCTCCTCCTCCTCCTCGTCCTCGTCCTCGTCCTCCTACTCCTCTTCCTCCCCCGCCTACTCCCCCGACCTTGCAGAGTGCTGGAAACTAGCCCCCCACACCTATGGACCTATCTGGACTGCCTGAACCCTCGACGGGAACTTCGATGCCCAGATCCTGGAGCTATTTTTTGTCGAGCCCTCCTTGGAATTCAGGGTCCCCCTCCCCAGACATCCGGCGGCTCCAATCTATAGGAGGCCTGGACCACTTCCCCAGGGTTAAGTCGGGCGTGTCCCCCTACAGGGGGATTTTGGGCGAAACATACAAAATACCCCAAAAATACCCCAAGATGGCCAAACAATGCTGAAAAAATAGTCCCCAGACTATTTTTGGATAATGTTTTGATTATTGTTGGGGTATTTTTATTTTCGACCATCCTCCTGTAGGGGAACACGCCCGACTTAACCCCAGGGCCGGTGTGTCGTCCCGCGTCGTTTTGTTGTCGCTCCCGGGGGCCCCCGAGGCGAGGGCCCCCCCGGAGGCCGAAAACTGCAACAGACACCAGCCGCTGTGTGTGTTTTGTTGGAGCGTCGACCCCTGGGTCCTCCTCTCCCCGTCGAGTAGACAACCACATTAACATGAACTTTTTGCGCTCCGCGCGGATCTCTTGGAACTGCGCTGCACCCCTCTCCCTGGCGCGCGGAGCGCGCCCGGGGCGGCGCCGGAGGCGCCGCCAGGGAGGGGGGGGGGGGGCAGCGCGAATGCTGGAAATCCGCGCGGACCGCCCAAAATGTACGCTTTTGCCGCGTTCTCTTCTCCTATTCGAGGGGGAGGGGTACGTAGGATGGCATGTGTGGCGCGAGCGCGCCTCGTTTGCCTGTGTCCCCTCTCCTCTTTCCTCTCTCCTGCTCCTGTTCCTCATTTTGCTCCTCCTCCTCCTCCTCCTCCTCCTCCTCCTCCTCCTCCTGCTCCTCCCCCTCCTCCTCCTCCTCCTCCGAGGAGGAGGACCCGAGGGGCCGACGCTCTAACAAAACAAACCAGAGTGGCGGACTTTCTGGACAGTCTTCGCCCTCCAGGCTTCGATCGAACTTCGACGAGGGGCCCTCCGGGCCTTGCTGCAACGTCGTCGACCCCGGGGCCCCCCAGACCCCCGACGTCGTACATTCGTTCACAAAACGTCGACTCCCAGAGCTCTGGACCCCTCCCCCGGGACCGGCTTTTCATCCCGCGTCGCCTCAGGATGAAAAAAAAACGCTAACGCACGATCGTGTTTGGGGAAGGTCCCAGCGAAAAGGCCGAAAAAAAACGCGAAGCCCCCCTCCCGCCGTGAGCTTTTTTGCCGCGGCGCGAGGAGAGGTCCGGGTTGGAGGTCGCTTGCATGGGGGGCAGCGTTGTTTCCAGGGCCAAATCCCAGTACGCTCAGCTGACGCGCTTGATCCGTCAATAACAATCCTCACGACACCCATTCGCGACAAGTTCGGACCTTCGGTAGGTTTGGTCTTACCAGCGATTGGGCTGCTAAGGTTTGCTCTCACGCTACGAGCATCCGACCCCCGACCCCCGACGTCGTACAATTTGATCACAACGTCGACTCCCAGAGCTCGAGACCCCTTCCCGAGGACCGCTTTTTCATCCTGAGCCGACTCAGGAGGAACCACCGCTCAAAAACACGATCGTGTCTGGAAGGTCCCGGCGAACAGGCCGAAAAAAGGGCGAAGCCCCCCTCCCGTCGTGAGCTTTTGCCGCGGCGCGAGGAGGTCTGGGTCCTCCTCGCCCTCGAGGCCCGCCGCGGGGCCCTCGGCCGCCCCGGAGAGGTTCACGCAGAAGAGGCCCGGGCCGGCCGGGCCGAAGCTCTGCCACGGCGCGCCCGCGGCGCCCGGCGGCCGGCAGGCGGCCAGCCGCCAGGCGCCCCGCCCGGCGTCCGCGCTGGCCTCCTGCGGCCCGCCCGAGCGTCGAGGATGGGCCGAGCACTCCGTCCTCCTCCTGCTTCCCCTCCTCCTCCTCCTCCTCCTCCTCCTCCTCCCCCTCCTCCTCCTCCTGGTCCTCCTCCTCCTCCTCCTCGCTGCCTCGCTTCCCTCCCTGTCCTCGTCCTCGTCCTCGTTCCCCTCCCTCCTCCTCCTCCTCCTCCTCCTCCTCCTCCTCCTCCTCCTCCTCCTCCTCCCCCTCCTCCTCCTCCTCCTCCTCCTCCTCCCCCTCCTCCTCCTCCTCCCAGCTGGAGGCCCCCTAGATTGGGTCGGCGTAGATGGGGTTGGGAGGATCGAGCCGCACCGCCGTTACATCGGCGATGCATCGGCGACGTCGGCGCGAAGGAAATCGGGCCCAACATTTGAGCCGCATCGGCGATGCATCGCCGATGCAGCCAGGCTGACGCCGCACGAGCTGTGATATACGGGCGCGAGCACAAGCATGCAATACTGGAATGGCTACTACACTGGATCTATGTTTCAAATGGTGGTAGGAGCTGAAAACGAAATATAGGAAATCATTCGGAAGGAGGGGGAGGTGGAGACTTACTTCGGAACATCTCGGGCACTCGAGCATGTGACGCATAGGGTCCCCGTCAAGGCACCCGCATCCGATGCACGCGTGAGTGGCCCCCCCGAAAACGACCACTGCAAGCCCAACTATTACACAGGGTCTTGAGAAAGATGGTCCGAGAGCCTTCAAAAACTGAATAACGCGTTTTCTATGTCTAGGGGCGTCACGGCGGGATCATATTTCATAAGACGAGCTTTCAACATGCCGCTGGAAACCTTCAAGAAAATATTCACATCATAACAGCAGCCTGAACCTTTGAGACCTTGCGTGATACTGATTTTCCAAGCGGGACGAGGAGGAGGAGGAGGAGAAGGAGAAGGAGGAAGAGGAGATGGAGGAGGAGGAGGCGGAGGAGGAGGAAAGGGAGGAAGAGGAGGAGGAGGAGGAGGAGGAGGAGGAGGAGGAGGAGGAGGAGGAGGAGGAGGAGGAGTAGCGGAGGTGGGAAGGAGGGCGGAGGGAGGGCCGCAGGAGGAGGGCCGGAGGGAGGGCGAAGGACACCTCCCGCCTTGGCCTGCGCAGGGCCCGAGCAAGCCTGGGGCCATGGCGACGGAGAGGCCCATGGGAGGCCCAGACGGCAGTGCTCCCTCCTCGTCCTCCTCCTCGTCCTCCTCCTCCTCCTCCTCCTCCTCCTCCTCCCCCTCCTCCTCCTCCTCCTCCTCCTCCTCCTCCTCCTCAACCTCCTCGTCTTCTGGACGGTCCTCCGGCCGGGCGGGCCCCAGGACAGTCCCGAAGCCGAGTCGCGGTAAGAGAACGGCCCTGCGGGAGAGGGTCGGGGACCGCTTCCAGGGGCCCCGTGCTCTGGGAAGAAGTCGGGGCTTCGCGCGTCGACTGGACACGCGGCCGGCCCCATCTCTCAGCGGCGCCCACGGCCAGGCATCCCACCTCGTAATCGCATCGTGGCTCCTCGCGGGCCCGGGTCCCATCCAGGGCTTAGCTGATGACAGAAAAGCTGAGGGCGATCCTCATCCGTTTCCAGCTTTTCGGTCTCGGCAAACACCAAAGCGAACAAACATGTCGACCGAGAACCTGACAACTGAAATGCGAAACGGGGCCGGACCGAAACCCGCGCGACCGAGAATCCTACGACGGGAAGAAAAACGAATTACAAACAACTGACAAAAGAATTACAAACAACTGGAAGAAGATCTGTCTTTTGTCGCATCATCGGAGATCCTAGGGACCGGCTTGTCATCCCGCAGCCCGTGTTTTTTGGAGGCCCTGGGGCCAGCGGGAGGGCCCCCGAAAACGGTCAGAACCTTTTGTCGTGATGTTGCTACGACTCGCGTTCTCTCCCCTTGTTCCTGATCATTGGATGCCAGGCTTTTCTGGTCACGACCGACGAGATACAGGCCTCGGAACAAATTAGCGAACACATGCCACATTCATCCGTCAACGCCTCCCCTTCCCCCCAATGTTCAAAGTTGGCGGTGGGTCTGATGAGTTGCACCTCGCCCGCAGTCTCCCCCGCGCGTGCCAACCTTGAGTTTAGGGGGCAAGCGGGGTGTTCACTAATTGTTTCCCTCTACCGTCTCATTTTTTAGTTTACCCCGTCATTTGCAAGTTGGCCGAGCGATTCTGCGGGTAAGGATTTCTGCGGGACTATGATGGCGATATAAATATATATATATATACCTATACATATCTATATGTCTATGTATATATAATTATGCATCTATATACATATATGTATGAATATATGTGTACAAACACACATACAAATATATGATCACATACCTATATCTACATATATCTACATATATATGTGTGTAAATCACATGTTTCAAGCTTCTGGCGCCCAAGTCGCCCTGAGTTGGCCGAGCGATTCTGCGGGGGAGGATTTCTGCGAGACCACGATGATATATACATATGAACGTATATACATATATACGTATATACATATGTATAGATATGTATATATACACATATGTGTATATATACAATGATGTGTAAATGTACATACATACACACGTATACATACATGTATGTGTGTGTTTGTATATCACATGTTCCAGTGTTCTGGCGCCCGAGTCGCCCCGCGCTTTATTTTCCACGTATTACTCGTATCACTCGTCCCATCACTCCTCATTCTTCGCATATTATTCGTATCAATCGTAAGAAAAAGACAATCGTTGAAGAATCACATTTTCTTTTTACGAGTGATACGAGTAATATGTGAAAAATAAGGAGTGATGGGGCGAGTGATGCGAGTAATACGTGACAAATAGAATGGGATGCGCGAAGCGCCTCCTGGGGGGGCCCGGGGCCGTTGGGGAGGCGCTAGACATAACAACATGCAGCCGTTTTGGCCGTTTCTTGCTTGGCTCCCGGGCGTCGTCGTCGTTGTCAGTCGGCCGCCGCCGTGGTCCGTCGTAAAAGTCGAAAAGCAAAGTGTCAAGTTCGACTTGCCCCTGTCTGATTCAGTCCGGGGTAAGTCCACGGTTGACGGTTCGATTTTCGTAGTGATTGAAATGACTCCTACCCGGTCCGCCCTTCGAACATTCCCCCGTGTACCCCTCCTTGCATTTTTGCGCCCCACTCAGTTCGAGGGCAGCCACGTGCCGGGCAACGCACCCACAGGCCCCGGAACCAATTAGCGAACACATGCCACATTCATCCGTCAACGCCTCCCCTTCCCCCCAATGTTCAAAGTTGGCGGTGGGTCTGATGAGTTGCACCTCGACCGCAGTCTCCCCCGCGCGTGCCAACCTTGAGTTTGGGGGGCAGGGGTGGTGTTCACTAATTGTTTCCATCTACCGTCGGTCGCCACCGACTATCTTTCAAACTCTGGTATCGATCGCGACCAATTTGCTTGAGAATTGGGCGCTAATTGCCGATCGCGACCGAAAACATATGGTATCCGATGATCTGGGGAGGAAGGGGGGGGCCGAAAAGAGAGCAGCAGGCGGGGGGAGCAGCATTTCACATTCAGCCGGCGGCTTCCCCGCCCCGATCTCCCACGTGAGGCACTGGTCCTGGGGAAACCAAAAGGTATCGATACCGCTCCTACCCAAACCTCTCTCGGAGAGCGTCCTAACTAGAATTTCGAGGCAAATCCAGCCATGGCGTCGAGGGTCGCCCAGGAGGCCCAAAAAGGAGGAACCCATAGGGAAGGGTAGCAGTAGCGGTGTCCCCTGAGACCCGACGTTGCGAAAAAATGCAACATCGAAAAAAATGCAGCATCCCCCAAAATCGCGACCGGAGCCCTGGGCCCCATATTTCAGCTCCATCTTCCGAGCCGGATCGATCTGAGAGGGTACACCGGGGCCCGACACCGGGCGCAAACGCCCGTGGTGCAGAAACTTGCAGCGCCGGGATCTCAGCCCAGACCCCCGCGACGTCGTGCTTTTGTGCTCACTACGTCGACCCCCAGAGGTCGAGACCCCTCCCCCGGGACCGGTTTTTCATTCTCAGGCGTTCTTTGACGGTCCCGAGGCCTGAAGAAGGCCCCCATATGAGGCCGAACATTCGGCAAAGCTCCCGTCGCGATGTCTTCACGCAACGCGAGGAGGTCTGGGTTCTCCTCCTCCCAGGTCCGGGAACGAGGCCGGCCTCATCGTGCTGCAGTTGCCGCACTCGGAACCACCTTGGCGGCGCGCACAAGGGGGTGGGGGGAGGTGGGAGGGCTTCTTAGAAGCAGGCTGCTTCTCAGAAGGCGCCGGCCTTACATCGATAGATGAGGCCCGCGCCTTCTCAGAAGCAGGGGTGCTTCTAAGAAGCCCTCCCCCCTCCCCCCACCCCCCTCTGCGCGTGGCTGACCACCGGAGCGGCCCGGCGGCACCGGGGCGAACAGCTCGCACGGGTCTCCCGGCGGCGCCGTCGCGGGGAGGAGCGCCTCGGGCCGGCAGGCGCGGAGGCAGGTGCTCGAGCTCTCGGGCGCGAGGGCGAGGCCGCTGGGCGCGCCGAACTCCTGGGCCCGCACCTGAGGGGGGAGCGCCACCCTGACCTTCCAGGAGGGCTACTCCAGATTTCGTCATAGAAGGGAGGGGGTCTGGACCCTCCAAGACAAGCCATTTCAGAGCTCCCCCGTGGGAGAGCCCGCCAAAACATCGTCCCCCGACCCCCCAGGCCCTCCAAGATAGTCTGGAAGAGACCCCCCCCCCGAAATGAGACCCCCCTCCCTTTATTACGAAATCTGGAGTAACAAATATACCCAGACCTGCGCGCGTTGTGGCAAAAATAACGGCGGTGGGTTTTTCGCTATGTTCGGCCTCTGGGGGCCCTCACCCGGGCCTCGGGACCGTCAAAGAGTGACCCAGGACGAGAAGCCGGTCCCAGTGAAGGGGTCCAAACCTCTGGGGGTCGACGCTGTATATACCCCAAAAAAAAAAGCAACGTCGGGGGACTGGGTAGCACCACGACCTTGCCATCCAAATGCCAATCCATGTTTTACGCTGCCCAGACCAGTCTATAGGCCTGGAGGGCCATTTGTTAGCACTCTGGAGGGGCAGGGGTGGGGGGTACCTGTGCCCTCATCAGCACTCAGCGGTGCTCGCACGCCTTCTCGAAGCAGCACTTGCACATGCACCCATAAGGGCTTTCGGTCCATCAGGAGGTGTTCGGTCCACAGTTTGGGCGTATGCGGCGCAAGCTGGCGGTTATCATTTTTCCTCCAGTCTTTCAGCGCAAATGCGATCAGTCACAGGTTCGCCTTCTCATCCATCCTCAGGGGGGAAACATCGAGTTTGAATCGGAGAAACATCGCCGACAGATCTGCGGTAGCCCCTGGTAGCAAAAGCGTACTTTCCTGGGTGGGGTGGGGAATCAGGCCCGTGTCGGCAATGCATGGGCGCTTGGGGGCCGAGGTATCCCACTCCGATTCTGTCCCCTGAGATTCTACGCTGCGGGAAGAATTGCGACATCGCAGAAAACCGCGACCACAGCCCTCCCTGGACGCCATCCGTCCGCTGCATGTTTCCAGCCGCATCGATCTGCGAGGTCCCGGGGCCAGGAATCAGGGGAAAACGGCAGCGGAGCAGAGCGGAGCGCCACTCGAGCAAGCCCTGTCGGCTGCTCGGCCCTGTGCAGGGCCATGGGTGAACAATCAGTTTACCAGCCATACAAATCAGTATCACATGTGAACAGACTTGGGGAAGTCGACACAATTGCGGCGCCAGGTGTTGGATGCTTATTCTGGGGACCTTTCTGGAGACACTCGCTCCACTCGCGCGTCGAAGCTGCGTCGAACATCCATCGATTGAGTCGACCCTGAGTCGAACCGAACCTGAGTCGAACCTGAGTCGAACTCGAGTCGAACTTGAGCCGAACTTCAATCGATTTGGGGTCAGACTGGGAGTCGGACAGCTCCTTTTGTAGCTGGGCACCCGAGGAAGGTACACCCCACATCGAGCATCTATAAACGCCAGGCGTGGCAAAACTGCGACGCCCAGCTCTCGGGGCGTTCCCCCCTGACGTCGCCCCTGAGTTAACGGGCGAAGAACGGGATAAAATAAACTTTGTCGCTGTCGGGGGCGCCTGTCCCTGGGCGGCTGGAAAGTTTATACCCTTCCGGTGGCACCGTAGGGGTATAAACTTTCCAGCCGCCCAGGGACAGGTGCCCCCGACAGCGAAAAAGTTTATTTTACACCGTTCTTCGCTCGCTGGCTGAGCACCGCGATCTGGGGATCCACCAGCTCGGCCCCGCCGGCGACCACCAGCCGGCCCGGCATCTCCAGCCCCGCCGGCGGCGTCCGCTCGGCGTCCGGGCGCACCAGCACGGCGATGCCGACCTGCCCCGGACGCGCTGAAGGAGGCAGGGCCCCCCCAGGACGAGGGAGGGCCCCCATCTGTGCATCCACTCCTCCTCTTCCTCCTCCTCCTCCTCCTCCACCTCCTCCTCCTCCTCCTGCTTCTCCTCCTCCTCCTCCTCCTCTTCCTGCTTCTCCTCCTCCTCCTCCTCCTCCTCCTGCTTCTCCTCCACCTCCTCCTCCACCTCCTCCTCCTCCTCCTGCTTCTCCTCCTCCTCCTCCATCTCCTCCATCTCCTCCTCCTCCTCCTCCTCCTCCTCCTTCTCCTCTTCCTCCTCCTCCTTCTCCTCACCCCTCCTCGAGGCCGGGGGATTGTGGAATACCTCAGTGTTCCAGCGGAATTTTACGAGCTTGCACCCTTCTCCTTCAGCACTATCCTTATCTTACCTCTCTCTCTCTATGAATATATGCACTCCTTCCTTAAGCTGTACCTTTACTCATGGCGATGCGATACCAATCCATTGCCAACCAATGCCAATGCAATGCCAATTGGGGAATATGTTCTTTCCGTGGATTTCGGCAAGAAACCTTCTGTGAAAGATAGATACAACATTTCAGTAGGAGTCCGTCTGCGGAGAGAGCCATGCGGACTCGCCAGCGCAATGTCAGCGCACTGCTAAAGCAGTGCCGACGCAATGCCAAACCAATGTCAAGGCGACCCCAATCCAATGCAAATGCCATGCCAATGGGGGCAATCCTTCTGGGGGCTGCAATAGGAATCCTTCTGCGACGGAAGGCATTGGAACTCGCCAGCGCAATGCTAACGCAATGCCAAAGCAGTGCTAACGCAATGCCAGCGCAATGCCAATGCGATCCCAAATCCGATGCCAATGCAATGCCGTTGGGGACAATCCTGTTTGGTAGAGTTCAAAAGGAATCCTTTTTGCGGATAGTTTCAATAGGAATCCTTCTGCGCAGGGAGGCGTTAGGACTCGCCAGCGCAATGCTAAAGCAGTGCCCACGCAAGGCCAAACCAATGTAAAGGCGATCTCAATCAATGCCAATGCGGGCAATCCTTTGTGGTGGCTTTCAATAGGAATCCTTTGTTGTGGAGGGTTTCAATGGGAATCCTTCTGCGCAGGAAGGCATTGGAACTCGCCAGCGCAATGCCAGCGCAATGCTCAAACAGTGCCAACGCAATCCCCAAATCAATGCCAAGGCGACCCGAATACAATCCCATTGCAATGTCGTTAGGGACAATCCTTTGTGGCGGATTTCCATAAGAATCCTTCTTCTGGGGGTTGCAATGGGAATCCTTCTGCGAAGGGAGGCATTCGGACTCGCCAGCGCACTGCCAGCGCACTTCCAACGCAATGCCATCACAATGTTAAACCAATGACTCATTGGTGCATTTCAATGAGAACCCTTCTGGGATGATGTCATTGCGATTCCATGTCCGGAGGATTTCAGTAGGAATCCTTATGTGAAAGGCTTCGAATGCAATCCTTCTGCGGGGGATTTCAATTTGAATCCTTCTTGTGTGTATGTGGGGGGGGGGTCAAAAGGCATCCTTCTTGGTGGGGTGGGTTAATAAGAATTTTCCTGTGGAGCGTCCGACTGGGACTCGCCAGCGCAATGCCACCGCAGTGCCAATGCAATGCCAAACCAATGCCAAGGCGAGCCCAATCCAATGCCAATGCAATGCCAATGGGGGCAACCCTTTGTGGCAGATTTCAAACGGAATCCGCCTGGGGGGTGCAACAGGAATCCTTTTGCGAAGGGAGGCATTGGAACTCGCCAGCGCAATGCCAGCGCAATGCCACAGCAGTGCCAAAGCAGTGCCAACGCAATGCCAGCGCAATGCCAATGCGATCCCAAATCCGATGCCAATGCAATGTCGTTGAGAGCCATCCGTTGTGGCAGATTTCAAAAGGAATCTGTTTTTTTGCGGAGGGTTTTAATAGGAATCCTTCTGCGAATGGAGGCATCAAGACTCGCCAGAGTAATGCTAAAGCAGTGCCAACGCAATGCCAAACCAATGCCAAGGCGACCCCAATCCGATGAAAATGCTATGCCAACGGGGGAATCCTTTGTGGTAGATGTCAAAAAGAATCCTCCTGGGGGTTGCAATATGAGTCCTTCTGCGACGGCAAGCATTGGAACTCGCCAGCGCAATGCCAGCGCAATGCCAAAGCAGCGCCAACGTAATGCCAACGCAACGCCAACGCGATCCCACATCCGATGCCAACGCAATGCCATTGGGGGCCTTTCTTTGTGGTAGATTTCAACAGGAATCCTTCTTTTGCGGATGGTTTCAATAGGAATCCTTCTGCGAAGGGAGGCGTTAGGACTCGCCAGCACCATGATAAAACAGTGCCAACGCAAGGCCAAACCAATTCCAAGGCGATCCCAATCCAGCGCCAATGGGGGCAATCCTTCGTGGTAGATTTCAATCGTTTTTTTGTGGAGGGCTTGAATAGGAATCCTTCTGCCAAAGAGGCATTCGGACTCGCCAGCGCAATGCCAGCGCAATGCTCAAACAGTGCCAACGCAACCCCAAATCAATGCCAAAGCGACCCGAACCCGATGCCAATGCGATGTCGCTGGGGGCAATCCTTTGTGGCGGATTTCAATGAGAATCCTTCTTCTGGGGGGGTGCAATGGGAATCCTTTTGCGAAGGGAGGCATTAGGACTCGCCAGCGCAATGCCAGCGCGCTGCCAGCACACTTCCAACGCAATGCCAACTTAATGTTGAACCAATGATACAGCGGTGTATTTCAATGAGAACCCTTCTGGGACGATGTCATTGCAAACCCATTCTCGGAGGATTTCCATAGGAATCAGTATGTGAAGGGCTTCGAATGCAATCCTCCTGAGAGTGATTACAATTCGAAGCCTTCCTGTGTGTGTGGGGGGGGATCACTAGGTATCTTGCTGGGGTGGAGTAAGAAGAATTCTTTCTGTGGAGCGCCCGATTAGGGCTCGCCAGCGCAATGCCAGCGCAGTGCCAACGCAATGCAAAACCAATACCCTGGTGATTCCAATCCAATGCCAATGCAATGCTAATGTGGACAATCTTTTGTGTTAGACTTCAATCAGAACCCTTTTTTTTGTGGAGGGTTTCAATAGAAATCCTTCTGCGAAGGGAGTAATTAGGACTCGCCGGCGCAAAGCCAGAGCAATGCCAAAGCAGTGCCAACGAAATGCCAGCGCAATGGCAACGCGATCCCAACCCAATGCCAATGCAGTGCCGATTGGGGAAATCCTTTGTGGTGGACTTCCATAGGAATCCTTCAGTGGATGGCGTCGCATGGAAGGCGTCGCTGAATTCCGTTACTACGGGGGGGCCATGGTGCTCGCCATGACAAGTGGATTGTTTAGTTCTGGCGTGCGCTTAGGGTTGGCAGCCGCAGAGGTGATGAGGGCACCTTTTGCATTGTGTACTGTATTCAAATCGTGGTGTCCCTTGCGCCAGCACAACGTTGATCTGTCATTGGTCGCGCGGCGAGTTAAAATCATGCCCCTCCCTCTTCCCCCTCTTCCTCCTCGTCCTCTTCGTCCTCTTCGTCCTCCTCCTCATCCTCCTCCACCCCCCCTCATTCTCCCAGAATCGACCATGTTGCTTCTCCTGCGCACACGCACACGAAACAACAAAAAACAGAAAACGGAAGGTGGCATCCCGTTTTTTTTGGGGGGGTGACGCAGGAGAATCCAAAAGCTCGATCCTGGGGGAGGGAGGAGGAGGAGGGCGGGGGAGAGAGGAACGAGGAGAGCGGAGCAACGCGGAAAAGGACGAGAAACCCCTTCCCCCCCAAACAAAAACACGGGATGCCGCTCCGCCTTTTCTTTCTTTTTTCTTTGGGGAGGAGGGGAAGTGCAGGAGAAGCAAAAAGCTCGATTCTGAGTGAAGGAGGAGGAGGAAGACGAGGAGGGAGAGGAGTAGGAGAAGGGGAAGACAGAGGAGGGGAAGGAGAACGGGATAACACCCTCCGAAAGGCGAGGTACTCCACAATCCCGCGTTCTCTCCTCCTCCTCCTCCTCAACCTCCTCCTCCTCCTCCTCCTCCTCCTCCTCCATCTCCTCCTCCTCCTCCATCTCCTCCTCCTCCTCCTCCTCCTCCTCCTCCTCCATTTCCTCCTCCTCCTCATCCTCCTATTCCTCCCTCCTCCCCCTTCTCCTCCTCCTCCTCCTCCTGCTTCTCCTCCTCCTCCTCCTCCTCCTCCTCCTCCTCCTGCTCGTCGAGGGGCCCCCTCCCTCGACGGGGGGTCCGCCAGGCAGGACCCCGAGTAAGAAGCAGATAGCACCGGGACCTCGTCGTCCAGAGTCCTGCCTGGGCGCAAGCAGCCAATCGCCCCGAGGTCCGACGTAGCGAAAAAAACTGCAGCATCGGGAACAGCAGCGCCGAGGAGCCCACGACCCCATTCGGGTCGGGCGAAAGGGGGGGATAGCAAAGGGGGGGTTTGAGAATCAGCTCACGTAGCTGATTTTCCCGGCGCCTCGAAGCGCCGGAGGCGGCTATGTATCGAGGAATGGGCCCCTCGGTGAGGCCGAAACCAGCTGCATGCAGCAAATTTCGTAACCCCCCCTTTCCCAATCCCCCCCTTTCGCCCGGCCCGACCCATCCTTCTGCGCCAATGTTCGCGCCGCATCGATCTGTGAGGGTCGCCGGGGCCCGACACTGGGCGAACACGCCTGCGTCAGGAGCTTCATGTCGGTCAAATCAGGTCTGGAGGGTTCTCTGCTAGCGTGGAAGATCGGAGGAAGAGCGGGGTCAGCGCACCGTAACCCGAAGCGTGTACGCATGTGCGCGGATGGGGGGACCAGGGAATGCAACTAGAGAGGAGACCGCGGGCAATGGTACATGGATGCCTATGATTGTCATATATTAATATATATATATATGTATATAGATACGTGTATCTATATGCATATATACATACGCACATCTATGATATATGCGTATATAAATAGATGGCCAAAAGTACGTGTATATCTAGATAAACATGTGTTTCCCGTCATCTACGTTTCATAGACCGGACCCCTGCGCCCCCCCCTTAAACGGGACCCCCCTCCCCCGATCCCTAGTCCAGAGGGGGCCTCCTGGACCCTGCTTGACGAGTCGCCCGGGACTTCCGGGCCTTTGAAGATCCCTCCCAACCCGTGCAAAAAAGACCCACAGCGGAGAGGCCCCTAAGACGGTCGAAGAGGGCCCCAAGACGTCCCAGGAACTCCCAAGAGGGGCCTAGATGGCCACAAGACGGCGCAAGAAGCCCCAAGAGGCCCTAAGAGGCCTTCAAAGGACCAGCCCAAAAAAATCATCGCCATCCCACTCCTTCAAGAAAACGTGCATTTGCTGCATGTACGCCTTGTTAGTCTTAGCAACGTCATTTGCGCCTTCTCGCCGCTGCGACTGCGACGATCCGTCCGTCATCACGGGAGGTATGAGCACCGCTGGACACCGAGGTCGGACGCACACGAGCCGAGGGCCTGTCAGTTGCATCTCCCCTGCGGCTGTGATGATCCGAGCGACTACTCATTGCCAAGCCACGCCGACGAGAAGGAGAAGAAGAAGGACCATCCATGGCGACATCGGGCATGAACGAAGCGTCGGCGTCTTTACGCTCGAGGCCGTGCCGCTCACAGAGCCACCGAGCAGCAGCAGTGTCGCAAAGCGACAGGTGTGGCGCCGCAGGCGCAAATTGCCCGCGTGCGCAGCCATCGGATGGGGCCGCTGCACACGCCAGCACATTCGGTCACTGAGCCACCTCGAGGACATGGCTTACTGGAGCCAAGCTGGCTACATACTGTTGTGTAGTTAGATGTCTAGATGTCGTGGCCCTGCCCTTGACGTCCACTCGCCCCCAGTCCTCATCCCATGCGTGTGCGCCCGACCTCGCCTGGATCATGCTGGGCCCAAGATCGGTGCAACCGCCCTCCCTTCACGGCCAGGGAGGCATGTGCGCCGATCCTGGGCTCAGGATGGGCCTGGCCACGATCGGGGCATCTGCACACTCCTCGTCGCCTGATCTTGGACGGCCCGAGGCCTGGGACCGAGGCACGGCCGTCCACAACGCCTGCGGCCGGATCATCTCCGCCGCGATCGACAGCTGGTCCATGCCGTGGAAGCCCGCCTCCGCCATGTACGCCAGCCTCCGCAGCGTCGCGCCCGCCTCCGCCACGGAGGCGGTGAACGAGATCGCGCCCCGCTCCTGGCGGCATGGAGTGGGACGCAGAAGGCTTGTACTATGCGCCACCCTTGGAGGTGCCCGGATCGAACTTACGCAATCGTGCACATTTGCTCAGCGTGCCGCGGCGGCGGTCCCGGCGGCACGCTGTGCCCTGCGAGCGGATAAGAAGTGTCGCTCCGATCCGCAGGGCGGGAAGGCTCGAATGGGATCGGGGACGTTGCCGCTTGGGGATTTGGGAGTGGACACGCGCCAACAGAACACGATGATAGGACAGGATAGGCACGTTTAGTAAACGCGCTGGACCGTTTAGAAAACGCGCCACTGATGGGGGTCGGGGGTCGGGGTGGTTTTCCACCCCTCGGCCCAAACCGAAGAACAACCAGCCGTCGCGACTGCATGGCGCACCCATTCTGGGCGAACCCCTTCTCACTCCTCCACCCGCAGGCTTCTCCCACGGCACGCTCCGCCCACGACTCCCAGGCGGACCCAGCCCTGGCGAAGAGGGCGGCCCTGGAGGCCCAGGACAAAACGGAAACGTCCCAAATCCTTGACCTGCGATCCCCAAACATGCGCTGCCTCGTGCTTTTTTTGTTCGTCCAGTTCTGATGGGCCTGTTTTCCACCACCACCACCATAAGTTGGAGGGGGAGGGGGTCCTCCTCCTCCTCCGCCTCCTCCTCCCCCTCCTCCTCCTCTTCGTCCTCCTCCTCCTCCTCCTCGTCCTCCACCTCCTCCCCCCTCCAACTTATGGTGGTGGTGGTGGAAAACAGGCCCATCAAGTTCGGCGCCCCCGGAATGCCCCCGACCCTCCCATGGGGCCAGCGTCTCACCCCGACTCGCTCTCCGACGGCCTCGGGGCCCAGCAAAGGCCCACCCCCGCGGGAGGCACGGCACGGGCCGACCGCCCCTCCGCCGTGCCGTGCTTGCCGCAAGGCAAGCACGACACGACGGAGGCCCAGGCACGATCGACCCCTTGCGGCCCGAACGTGTCTGGGCCTCCGGCCTGCCGCTTCGGGGCCCCCGGGCTCCCAGTGGGGCTCCCCCGCGCGGCGCCACCAGGCGGACAGCAGGCAGTGGCCGCAGGTCGCCCGCACGACGACGCCGTCGCCGGGCGCCACCAGCGGGCCGGCGAGCAGCGAGGCGCTGGGCCGCAGCAGCTTCCCGGCCTCATTCCCCCTCCGCCGTTCCCCTGGGCACAGATGCGTGTTTTCCTGATCAGCGGCTTGCGGAAAGCATGCCTGGCCACAGAGATGTCCCTAGTCTTTTTGGAGGCGACCTGGGTTTAGGAGGGCCAAACGCATCAGGGATAAACGGGGTCTCTTCTGCAGATGCATCCGGCCAAACCGCCCAGATTGATCCTCTTGCCCCTGACGCGAAGACGGGGACCTCGGTGAGGCCGCGCCTTCATCGCGTTGTCAGGCTTAGGGGTCCTCCTGTTCTCAATGAGCTCACGTGCGTGTGTTCTCTTCATCACAGACCTGTGGGGAACAGAAAAACCGGCGGCGCTGCGGTCCCCGGCTTGGGCGTGGCCGTTTTGTGTCACGTGCTCGAGCCCGGGCTCGGCCCGCGGCCGTTTTGTGTCACGTGCCCGAGCCCGCCCGTGATATACTGCTGCGTTCGCTCCGTACGAGATGCGCTCTCCAAGGGTCGCAGGATGCCGCCTGCCTGACGCCCGCTTCCCGGGTGCCGCTGTGCACACGTTTGACGTCGGCAGCGAGGCAGAAGTGGTGCACCGAGCGGCGATCTCTGGGGCGGCCGATCCGCGGAGGGGCCGGCGTGCAAGAAAGGGGAGGGGGGACGCGAGGCGGCCGCGAAGGACGGGAGGAGGCGGAGGGCACCCAGAAGCGGAAGAATCCCAAGCTGAGCTCGCCGGCGCGGCCAGCAGCGGCAGCGGGGCCGTGGCAGCAGCGGGGCCGAGGCGTCGGTGCACCCACGGGTGCTGTTACAGGGCAGTTTGTAATACATAGGATGTTTTAAATATTGGATTTTAATACATGACTAGTTGATGTATAAATTCATGCATGAACTCATCTTTGTTTTTAATACTAAACCCTACATATTTAATACATGATCCGCACGCGGAGCATGTATTAAAAACGGCACTGTATGTTATGAACACGTTTTGGTCAAGTCAAAAACGAAGAGTGGAGACACCAACAGAAACGCCCCCAGCGTTGCTCAGAACGGCGAAGCCCCTGGGATGCAGAAGGGCGCACTGGTACTGTGCGGTCCCATCGGGCGCAAACGTCCGAGCCGACCGTGCAGCGCAAACATGGTATAGGAAAGCGTTGCCCGAGCGGCATGGCCAGAAAGCGCCCGCCACCGAGCCGATACTGCGAGAGTTCTGTGCGCACACGAGTCCGCACCTGGTGGGCCGACGCACACACAATAGAAGCAGGCTGGGGTGATGCCGACCCCCTTCCCCCGCATTTTGTTTGTGACGTGGGTGTCGGGGGATCTCGACCTCGCCCCCCGGACCTGAACTGTCACCCTGAGTAGACCGGCAGATGCCTTCCAGGAAGGCCGAAAGACGATCAAACATTGGCAGTCACGATTTCTTGCGCCACCCAGATCTGGAGGTGTACAGCGCGGGCCCGGTCGCAAGAAACCCTTGCAAGAAACCCAACCCTGAAAACTCGCGCGCGAGGTGCACCTGATGGGAAGCCTGGAGCACCCTGAACGCAGCAGCTTCTTTGACGGCCGCGGAAAGTCACCGCGCAGCCTGCGGAGCGAAGAAACCCAAGGTACCCTGACGAAAAGCATCTGGTTTCTGTTGATGCGCGCCCCCACTGTATGGCAGGTTCGTGTCATGACTACTTGCGCGTGGGTTCCGAGAACCAGTGGCCGCACCAGAGTCGCCACCGCGTCGCCACGACACGAACCTACCTGCCATGCAGCAGACATCTGCGATGCGACATCGTGCTATAATAGGAGCTCGACCACAAGAAATATTCAACAAGAAACTGAAACCCAACCCTGAGACCCAAGGACGTCCATCGACTTTGGTTGTAGGAACGTCACGCTTTCCATCGCAAAACCATCGGAACCCAAGAAACCCAGGGCACCCTGGAGGCAAGCAGGGTGTTGATCGGCATGGGTTCCGACTGCTCACGAGATCTCGGGGCGCCTGCGTCGTCGAGCCTTTGATCTTCCCGAGGTGCTCCAGGGCTGGCGTGGGCCCCCGATGCCCTCTGGGGAAAAGAAGCCTCCGTGTCTTCTGTTGCGCGGCCACTGGACACCTGCACCGATCCTGAATGGGCCCATCCTGTGCCCGAGGATCAATGCTGTACGCTTAAGTCGGGCCTGTCCCCCTACAGGGGGATTTTCAACGAAAAATTAAGCATACCCCAAAAATAATCAAAAATAATCAAAAAATAGTCTGGGGACAAATGTTTGAATAGTGTATGGCCGGTTTTTTATATTATTATTTTTTATTCTTCGTCGAAAATCCCCCTGTAGGGGGACATGCCCGACTTAAGAATGGGCCCACCCCGTGCCCGACTTATCAATGCTGTACGCCCTCTGGGCTTGGCCACGGGGGGCCGTGCAGGCGACGCGCACCCCTGGGCCCCCCGATCGGCCCCCCCGAGGTCCCCGGACGTCCTCCGCGTCCTCGTCCTGCTCTCAGTCCTTCGCCTCCTCCTCCTTATCCTCCTTCTCATCCTCCTCCTCCTCGTCCTCCTCCTCCTCCTCCTCCTCGTCCTCCTGCTCCTCCTGCTCCGCCTCCTCCTCCTTTTCCTCCTGCTCCGCCTCCTCCTCCTCCTCCTTTCCTCCTTCTACCTCCTCCTCTCCTCCTCCTCCTCCTCCTCCTCCTCCTCCTCTCTCCTCCTCCTCCTCCTCTCCTCCTCCTCTCCTCCTCACCTCTACCTCCTCCTCCTCCTCATCCTCCTCCTCCTCGTCCTCCTCCTCCTCCTCCTCCTCCTCGTCCTCCTCCTCCTCCTCCAGCCCTCCACGCTCGTCTCCTCCTGTCCTTCCCGGCTCCGAGGCCTTCGAAGGATCGTTGTTTCACCCTGGCGTTGCTCCTTCCGTTGGGCCTCCCGTGGCCGTCCTCGGGCCCAAGGGGCCTTCGGAACTGGACTCAGGACGGGAAACTGAACCCTTGAGAGGTCAGTCCAAGAGCACTGGGGGTGCGGAGGCCTGGTGAAACAATGCATGGTCGGATGCCTGGGCCCCCCTTCCCCTCCCACTCTTAGGGGGGGGGACAAGAAGATATCGACCCACCGCGACTTTGGATCTGACGAGAAATGGGGGGGGTCTACTCTTGTGGGGGCTCTTAACAGGCCTCGTCAAACAAGACTGCCTGGGCTCGCGATGCTGGGCCCGTTGCTGCACCGCTCCCGGGGGGGTGGGGGGTCCTCGACGCGCTGCCCAACACTTCTGTTCACCGCGCCCCCGCTGCTGCACGATTTGGGATGCTCCACGGGCCTCTCCTGTGGGGCGCCTTCCGCCCAGGACTTCGGAGCCAATCCTTCTCCTCCTCCTCCTCCTCCTCCTCCTCCTCCTCCTCCTCTGAGGCTCCTCCTCCTCCTCCTCCTCCTCCTCCTCCTCCTCCTCCTCCTCTGAGGCTCCTCCTCCTCCTCCTCCTCCTCCTCCTCCTCCTCCTCCTCCTCCTCTGAGGCTTCCCTCGCCCTCCCCGCCGTGGCGTGCACCAGCGGGGCAGCCGCCAAGCGCAGCTCGCCACGCGGGCGCTCTACGTACACGGGCACGGCGTCCCGCTCCGCGCCCACGTCGACCACGACCGAGTCCTCCCCGGCGGCATCCCTCGCCGGGGTGTAGACCAGCGTGCCGAGCACGGCGTCCACGTCGGCAGCCGCCCCGCGGAAGGCGATCGACCTGCCGCGGCGCGGGGCCGTCCGCGGCAGGCTGGCGCGAGGGGCGGCGTTCGAGGCGTTCGAGGCGTTGGCCTCGACGGCGTGGGCGAGGACCACGGCGTTCAGAGAGCTCGGCGCCAGGGCCTTGGCAACCACCTGCGGGGAGCTGCCCGCCCGCCCCCACGAGGCGCCCGTCGACCGCCAGCCCCTCGCCGAAGCCGCGGCGGGCCGCTTCGAGGGGGGGGCGCGGCCGAGCCGAGCGAGGGCCTCCGTCGGCAACCCGCCGCCGCCGGCTTCCGCCGTCGGGCCCGACCTCGGGTTGCTCTCCCGCGCCCGCGGGCCCCCCGCCAGTGGCGACGGATCGCACTGAGGGACCCCAGAGGAGGAGGAGGAGGAGGAGGAGGAGGAGGAGGAGGAGGAGGAGGAGGAGGAGGAGGAGGAGGAGGAGGAGAGGAGGAGGAGGAGGAGGAGGAGGAGGGAGGAGAGGAGGAGAGGAGGAGGAGGAGGAGGAGGAGGAGGAGGAGGAGGAGGAGGCAGGGGGCAGGGGGCACGCCCCGCGAAGATCGGCTCGCTGAGCGTGCTGGGGGGGGGCGAGAGGGCGGGGGCTGGCTCGCGGGAGGGGGAGGGGGCGCTGCCTTGGGACCGGTGATGCCTCGCCGATGCACTGGCGCCGGGCCTCCGAGAGGGGGGGGGGGGCGGGCCCCGATTCGCTGTGCGTGGGCGAGCTGGGGTCGGTGCGCTCCCCCCCTTGGCGGCGCGCCGAGGGGGGTAGGGGGAGGGGGGAAGGCTTCTTGGAAGCGCCCCTGCTTCTTAGAAGGCGCTGGCCTCCTCTGTAGATACAAGGCCAGCGCCTTCTAAGAAGCAGCCTCCTTCTAAGACGCCTTCCCCCTCCCCCTACCCCCTTCTGCTCGCCGCCAACCCACACCATGGCCACTCCCCCCCCTGGACTTTCCCCGAGATCCGACGCCGCGAACAGCTCCAACATCGCGACGAATCGCGACCCGAACCCTCGCGGCCCCACTCCATCAGCTTCCCCCCCTTGGCGGCGCGCAGAGGGGGGTAGGGGGAGGGGGGAAGGCTTCTTGGAAGCGCCCCTGCTTCTCAGAAGGCGCGGGCCTCCTCTGCAGATGTAAGGCCAGCGCCTTCTGAGAAGCGGCCTCCTTCTACAAGGGCTCCCAACTTCGCGCTTCGCGCTCCGCGAAGCGCGAAGCGCGAATAACTTCGCGCTCTCGCGCCGCCCCCCCAAAGGGAGAAAAGGAGGACGAGGAGGAGGAGGGAGGAGGGGGAGAAGGAACGAGGACCGCGAAGCGCGAAGCGCGAATAACTTCGCGCCCTCGAGGGAGCCCTTGCTTCTAAGAAGCCTTCCCCCTCCCCCTGCCCCCTTCTGCTCGCCGCCAACCCACACCCTGGCCCCTCCCCCCCCTGGACTTTCCCCGAGGCCCGGCGCCGCGAGCAGCTGCAGCACCGCGATAAAAATCGCGACCCGAACCCCCTCGCGGCCCCACTCCATCAGGAGGAGGAGGAGGAGGAGGGGGAGGAGGAGGAGGAGGAGGAGGAGGGGGAGGAGGAGGAGGAGGAGGAGGGGGAGGAGGAGGAGGAGGAGGAGGAGGAGGAGGAGGAGGAGGAGGAGGAGGAGGAGGAGTTCTGGCCGCACCGGCTCGATCTCTCCCACGGCCTCCCGGGCCCGAGGCCGGGCGAAAAAACCCCTCGGCGCGAACAAGATGCCACACGCCCGGATCTCGAGGTTGCCTGCGAGAGCCGATGCGACAGCGCAGGGACGGGGAAAGACGAGGAGGGGGGGGGGAGGAGGAAGGGAAATTTGGACACACACAAACAAATACACACAAATAAAAATAGACCCCATATTTTCCCATATTTTCTGGGTTTTTGTCTTCCCCCCCAATTCCCATATTTTCCCATATTTTCTGGGAAATCGAAGATTAATTGTGTCTGTGTGTTTCTTTCCCTCCTGAGAGGAGGAGGGGCGCGCTGACCTAGCGCGAAGAGCAACCGGGCGAGCTTATACTGAGCATTGTCTCAGGGTGGAGGGCTCAGAGCGAAATCCATGTGGGCTTCTGCACCTCGAGAACCAATCCGTCGTGTGGCTCACCGTTTGCAAGTTCGAGCCTCGAACATCAATCGAAACGGCATTTCAGATTTCACCCTTTGCCCTCCACCCAATGAAAATGCTCGGTTATAGAACACACAACGAAGACGAGTCTGCAAAAAGCGTGCAGCTGTACACCATACAGATGATCCTGGAGACGATGACCATCGCATATGGGGGAATCAACGACGGCAAATGACTCATATCAATGACGCAACGAATTGCGGCATGCGGGCTCATGGCAGGATGAAGCCGACGGGCGCGATCTAGGATAACACGAATGGCCGAGAGGTTTGTCTTGCCCCCAGAGGAAGGACGAGGAGGAGGAGGAGGAGGAGGAAGAAGGGGAGGAGGAGGAGGAGGGAGGAGGAAGGAGGTAGGGGGACGGCGGAGGAGAGGGGATGGGGAGGGAGGGGGATGGAGGAGGAGGGGAAGGGAGGCGGGAGGAGGCGGGAGGGGGAGGGAGGGAGGGAGGAGGGAGGAGGAGGAGGGAGGGATGGAGAAGGAAGGGGGATGGAGGAAGGAGGGGGAGGAGGGAGGGGGGTAGAGGAGGGAGTTGGACAGAGGGGAAGGGAGGAGGGAGGGGACTGGAGGAAAGAGAGGAGGGGGAGGAGGAGGGGGAGGAGGAGGAGAAGGAGGAGGAGGAGGGAGGAAGGACGACGACGAGGAGAAGGAGAAGGAGAAGGAGGAGGAGAAGGAGGAGGAGAAGGGGGCCAGCCTGCGCCGTATCCACCGCGAGCGTGCCCTGACTGCAGTGTAGGCGCGCCTCGACCTGCGCCTCCACTGCGCGCAACCCCAGCGGCTCGTGCTCGTCGGCGCACCGCAGCTGCACAACGCCCTCGAGGCCGAGCGACTCGCCCGCGAGCACCTTTTGGGGGCCGTCGTCGTCATCGTCGTCGTAGCCGTCGTCGTCGTCGTCGTCGTCGTCGTCGACGTGGACGTCGTCGTGGTCGTGGTCGTCGTCGTCGTCGTCGTCGTCGTCGTCGACGTGGACGTCGTCGTGGTCGTGGTCGTGGTCGTGGTCGTGGTCGTGGTCGTCGTCGTCGTCGTCAGCGTCGACGTCGACGTCGACGTCGTCGTCAACAACCTCCGTCGTCGTGATCGTCGTCGCCGTCCTCATCGTCGTCGTCGTCGTTGCCGTCGTGGTGATCGCCGTCGTGGTGGTGGTCGTCGTCGACGTGGTCGTCGTCGATGTGGCCGTCGTCGTCGTGGTCGTGGTCGTCGTCGACGTCGTCGTCGTCGTCGTGGTCGACCGCATCGTCGACGCCCGCAGCGTGATCGTCGTCGTCGTCGTGGTCGTCGTCGTGATCGTCGTCAGCGTCGTCAATGCCCTCAGCGTCATCATCGTCGTTGTGGTCGTCGTCGTCGTCGTGGTCGTGGTCGCCGTCGTCGCCTAGGTCGATGTCGTCATCAGGGTCATCGTGCTGGTCGTGGTGTTCAGCGTCATCGTGGTCGTTGTCGTCCTCGTGGTCGTCGTGGTCGTCGCCAGCGACCTCGTCGTCGTCGTCGTCGTAGCCGTCGTCGTCCTGGTCGTCAACGTCGTCAGCATCGTTGTAGTCGTCGTCATTGTCAGCATCGTCGTCGTAGTCAGCGTCGTCGTCATCGTCAGCGTTCTCGTTGTCGTCGTTGTCGTCGTCAGCGTCGTCGTGCGTCGTCGTTGTCGTCGTCGTGGTCGTCGTCGTCGTGAGCATCGTCGTAGTGGTGGTCGTCGTCGTCAACACGCGTCGTCGTCGTTGTCGTCCTGGTCATCGTCGTCGTCGTCGTGGTGGCCATCGTCGTCGTGGTCTTCGTCGTTGTCGTCCTGGTCGTCGTCGTCGTCCTCGTCGTCAGCGTCGTCGTCGTCGTCGTGGTCGTCGTCGTCGTGGTGATCGTCGTCGTCGTCCCCAGGACCCCCCTCTCCTCGCGGGTGCAGAGGGTGAGAAGTAGGGGGGGGGTTCGAACCCCCCCTCCCCCCTCCATCCAGGGGGGGGGTCCAGTTCCAAACCCCCCCCCCTCCAAGCGACCACAGAACGCGCTCTTTCGGACCTCTGGAGCCGCGGACCGAACATGTACATCGGAGGATTTCGGGCCAGGGACCTCAACGAAGACCTCAACGCACGGTCCGTCACCGCACGATTTTGGGACCCTGGAGGCGACTCGCCACGCGGCGTGATCACCACACCGTTGCGGGGCCTCCGAGCCTTGAAGCCCTGGCTCAGGACGCTCAGCCGAGGCGGCCCCCGCGCCAGCTCGCTCGTGCCGACCTCGATCCGTATCGACACCTCGCTGTAGAGCCTGGGCGGGGGCTCCGACGTGACGCTCTCCAGGAGCGCCGGGTCCCACGCGCGCACGGTGAGCGTGTCGGAGGCGCAGGCCGTGCACGAGACGGTTAGGCTGAGCCCGCCCAGGTGCTCGGCGACGGCGGCTGCGGAGCCAAAGAATTTGTGCACTCTGCCCAGGTCGAACACCTCTGGGGGGACAGCAAGGTACCGATACCGCCACTCCCCAGACCTCTCCCGGGGTGCATTGTGACCAGACTCTCGAAGAGAATCCAGCCGTGGCGACGAGGGCCCCCCAGAACGAGCAGCAAGATCGGCAGCCTCTGTTCCTCCACGGAGCCTCGTCCGAGATGACGCACGCGTTGCAGGCAACCTGTGCGGCCAGAGGGCGCGGGTGCTCAAAGCCGATGGCGAGCTGCCCCAAGCTGGATCGCCTCGTACGCAGGGCGCCCAGACGGCGCGCTCCCGCGTGCACCTTGTGGAACGCAGAAGGACATGATAGCACGGTGCGCCAGCTTTTGAGGCGCACGTCCGAACCGAACAGACATCCCCAACGTATTACAGTCAGGTGTGCTTGCTTAGCGTATCGCAGCGGCGGCCCCAGCGACACGCAATGATCTGCAAGCGGATAATCTGTCGCTCCGCTTCGCGGGGCGGGAGGCTGGGAAGAGCTGGGGACGCTGACGCCTGGAAGAATGGACGTGGATAACGTGCCGCGCCGAAGCGTGGTGGGCCGAAACTGGCGGCGCGACACGCGAAGCCAAAGACCCCGACCGTGTAGTAGATAGTTACCCAGACGGTATGGCCAGAAAGCACTTGCCAACGAACATCCACTGTGAGACTCATGTGCGCGCGCGCGTCGCCCTGGGGTGGGCCGACGCGCTCGCTCAGTACAAGCATGCTTGGGTCATGCCGGCCTTCGGCACCGACGGCTCAGGATGGAGCTCCAGGTAGACGACACGGCGGTCCCGCAGCAACACCCGCTCGAGGGGCCGCTCTGCAGAGCTGACCGCGTAGAGCAAGATTGTCAGGGGCACCCGCGTGGGCCTCTGTAGCAGGGCGGCCTCCCAGGCAGTGTACTGCATGCTGCCCAGCACCTCGTTGGCCTCTGAGGTCCGGTGCGCCAGCAGCTCGTAGCTGCCGTTGCCCCGCGGGGACCACGACACGGACAGGACGCGCCCCGGCAGGGGGGGAGCCCTCAGCTCCCCGGACGGCACGTGCAGGGCCACGAGGCAGGGCCCGTCCGCAGCCTCCGAGGCAATGGTCACGTTCGGCACGGAGACGTCCCACCCAAAGGCACCGCCCACCCGCGCTGACGCGTTCACCCGCCCAGGCCCGCCCACGAGGCTCAGGAAGGGCAGGACCGCCGTCCCCACGCGCAGCCTGACGGCCGCTTCCACGGACAGCCCCGTCCCGAGGTCGGTCACCTCAGCAGCCCCGTCGGCCCGGGCTGGTGCAGGCACCGGTCCGCGGCCGGATCATGATGCTGCCACTGCCATGCCGCCGACCCAGGGCCTGGGCGACCGACCCGATCCCGATCGATAGACGCAGCGGCTGGATCCAGCAGCGGCCAGATCGAGGCCATAAGTTTAAGGCTTCGGGACGTACGCAGACAGCCCCATTTAGTCCCAGCTGGCCTCAACACCCCAACCCTGGGGCGCGGAGCGCTCCAAGGGCGCCGCCGGAGGCGGCACCAGGGTGCTAAGACCGCGCTGGATGCGGAGGGCCTGTTGAGGGCCCGCAGGGACTACCTGGGGGGGCTGTCTGTGCGCAGCCCAAATCCTTGCGAGCCCCGATCGAGCCCTTGATCGACGGATCGGTCTGTTCAAGGCTGGTCGCCCTGATCAGCAGCTGCCCCGTCGTCTGCGTCTCTCCCTGCGGCACGCTCAGCAAGAACAGCTTCGTGCCCAAGGCCCGCTGGATCGTGTCCGCCGGGCCCATCAGGTGCACCTGCGACGAGGCGTTGTGCAGGAGCACCACCTCCTCCTGCCCGGCGAGGGGGGGAGAGGCGGAGTCGCGGGCTGCCCCACAGGAGGGGCTCGGGCATCCACGGCGCATGCAGCACGCACATACGATGCGGGATCGTGCTGCGAAAACTCTTGGGGCACACTACTCGTTTATCTTTGAGGGCCTTACGGGCGGCCGCAGCGACACGCGGCGCTGACGCCTCGGGACCGGGAAGTGGGCGGCGCGTGCGCCGAGGTGCGGTGGGCCAGAACCCCTGCGGAGCGACACGCCATCCACAAATCTCCGACCGTACGGTACCCGAGACCTCCTGTGGGTCCCTGCGGCCGTCGGGGACTGGCAAATGCTCTTGGGCCACCTACTGGCAACCACATTTTCTCATTTGACGTGCCTCCAGTCGGCCCAAGGCCAGAAGCACATCCCTCACGAACATGAGGCCTTGGGCCCAGCCAAAACACACCGAACATCCAAGGGTACCGTCCCCGGGATGCACAAGAACATCCAACAAGCACGACGAACACGAGGGACCCCCCCCGAACCGACCTCGAGCTTAGATCTAGGTCCAACTGTACTGCAGTCCGCTGGGAAATGGCATCGCAGATGCAGGGCGCCTCTGCCTGCACGGCGGCGAATCACAGAGCCAGTTCGGAGCCAAGCTGGCACGCCGCCCCCCAAAATTCCGGCTGACCTTCTGAAGGGTGGCCAAATCTGAAACGTGCAGATCGACGGCAACCGTTTTACGCCTGGGCGCTCACTCCTGCTACTGTCTGACCTAGGCCAGAAAAAGATCCCTCAAGAATATGAGACCATTCACAAGCAAAACCACACATGCACATGAACATCCGACACACACAGAGGACATCCGGGCACCCTCCCCGAACCAGCCTCGATTCTGTGCCTCGGCCCGACGGTATCCACACGCTCGAACTTGGGCCAGAAATGCACGACTCGCAAACTCTGAGGAGCAGAAGCAGTGGACAAGGCGCGTGGATTGGTGACGGGTCCCGCTTCCGTTCGAAACCGAAACGCTCCGTCGCCACATCGAGCGGCACTGGCGCCACGTTTCGGAGGGGCTTCTCCCCGATCCGTGGACCTGGCACCCACGCGCCAGATCCACAGATCCCTAATTCATGTCAGCGTGCGCCCGAAAACTAAAGATCTACATGTCTACTTGGCTGCCCCTCTGAACTGCTATTGGCTTTCCGCTCCTCATCTGGCTGAGGATGGTACAATCCAGCCACTGGCGACAACGCCAAGGAACCCAAGGAGGTCGTTGCGGTGACGTCCAGCGCGCTCCAGAGCTCGGCGTAGTCCGGTAACAACCTTGTCAAGGTCGCGAGTTCCCGTCATCCTCCTTCCTCCTCCTCCTTTTCTGCCATATCGGCCCTCTCCATCAGCCTCTCCTCTTGTTTGTCTCTCTCATTCCTCTCCTGCTGCTGCTGCTGCTGCTGCTGCTGTTACTGGTCGTCATCCTTCTCCTCATCATCATCATCATCATCATCATCATCATCATCATCATCATCATCATCATCATCATCATCAGCAGCAGCAGCAGCAGCATCAGCATCAGCATCAGCATCATCATCATCATCATCATCATCATCATCATCATCATCATCATCATCATCATCATCATCATCATCATCTTCAGCAGCAGCATCATCATCGTCATCATCATCATCAGCATCATCCTCATCATCCACATCATCAGCATCATCCTCATCATCCTCGTCATCAGCATCCTCATCCTCATCCTCATCCTCATCCTCATCAGCATCAGCATCAGTATCATCCTCATCAGCATCATCATCAGCATGAGCAGCAACATTATCAGCAGCAGCACCATCATCATCATCAGCATCAGCATCCGCATCAGCATCATGTTCGTCGTCATCATCATCACCACCATCGTCGTCCTCGTCATCATCACAATCATCACAATCATCCTCGTCCTCCTCCTCCTCCTCCTCCTCCTCCTCCTCCTCCTCCTCTGTGAGATTCCCCCCCGCCGGCACGCGGGAATCTACCGAGAGGGCGCTCGTCGAGGAACCGCTGCGGAGGTAGGGCCCTGGACGCCTTCGAGGGCCGGACCGACGAAATCCCGAAGGCAGCAGCGCGCAGCCAGGGTTAAGTCGGGCGTGTTCCCCTACAGGGGGATTTTCGACGAAACATAAGAAATACTCCCAAAATGCCCCCGAATGGCAAAAAAATACAAAAAAGAGTCCCTGGAATATTCTTTGACTATTTTTGAACATTCCTCCTGTAGAGGGACAGGCCCGACTTAAAGCCAGGGGCCCCCGACGCCTTTCCACACAGCCAATAACGTTATGTCGGGCATGTCCCCCTACAGGGTGATTTTCGACGAAAAAATAAAAATACCCACCAACAAATACCCCCAAAAAGCAACAAAAATACTCCAGAAATAGTACCCAGACTATTTTTGGACAATTGTTTGATTATTTGGGGGGCATTCTCTAGCTTTCGTCGAAAATCCCCCTGCAGTGCGGGACGGGAAAATGACCACAGCCACTGCTTCTTGCTTGCGCCGCCTTCCAGCCGGCCGAAAAAGAAACAGTGGTTGTGGAATTTCCCTGGTGCCAAGATTAACGAAAATGACCACAACCACTGCTTTGTTTCTGCTGGCTGGAAGGCGGCAACAAAAGAACAGCAGTGGCTGTGGTCCTTTTCACGTCCTGTATGTAGGGGGACAGGCCCGACTTAACCCCAGAGGTTTCGAACCAATCCCCGGGACTGTTTTTTCATCCCGAGTCGCTTATTGATTTCCCCGAGCCCTGCCAGGGCACCCGTAGGCCAAACATAGATCGGCTGCACGTAAGAGTGACCCTTCGCGCCGGAGTGACCTCTGTTACGGGATCGTCGGGGTCCTCCCGATCGCTGAGCGGGTTGTGTCAGCGGCTGCTTGCGCGCTTGGATTTGACCACCTTGCGCCCCCATTGGTCCGCGCACCAAACGTCACTCTTGCCTGGGGTCACTATGTTGGGGGTGTTTTTTTAGTTTTCGTCGAAAATCCCCCTGTAGGGGGACAGGCCCGACGTAGCACTAACGAGCCCAGGATCCCTTTTAATTTACACAGCATTCGCGCCTCCGAGGCCACGACCCCTCGCAAATTGCGCTACATTCGCGCCCTCGAGGCCACGCCCCCTCGTAAATTACACCGCGTTCGCGACTCCGAGGCAATTACGTCACCTTCGCGCCGCCGAGGCCACGATCTCTCGTAAATCACGCCGAATCCGCGACACCGAGGCCACGATCGCGACACCGAGGCCACATCCTCGTCCCCGCGGCCATGACCCTTACAAATTACACCATGTTCAAGCCCCCGAAACCACGATCCATTGTAAATTACGCCACGCTCGCGCCTCCGAGACCCTGTTACCTTGTAATTTACGCCATGCTCGCGCCCCCGACGCCACCATCCCTTGTAACTTACACCAAATTCACCCTTCCGAAGCTACGCACCCAGCCCGAAGAGGCTGCCCTCAAGCGACACCCCTTCTCCAGATCGGAAGGACAAATTCTTTTCTATTTGAAACATGTTTCGGGATGCGCTTTTCGATTCCCCCGCTGTCTCCTAGATTCCGCGCTGTACCCGCAGCCGCAAGTCTTCGAGAATAACGCCACGCGCCACTATATCCCTAGATGACAGCATGCAACCCCAGTTGTTCCAAGAGGGCGCCCAATACACAAGAAGCGGGAAACGCCCTGAGAAGGCAATGAACCCTTCGACAACAGCTCCAACATCTCAACGTCTTCTGTGCACTGCCGGCCGTCTTCGCATGACGTTCCCAGAGGTCTTCGAATCGGCGCCCAGACATCCCCAACACAGCTCTGATATTGTCCGGTTCTGACGGAGAGGGGGCCGGCGGCAGAGGGCGAAGCCCTCACGGATATGTGAAAGGCTTGCACAGGAGGAGGAGGGAGGAGGGAGGAGGAGGAGGAGGAGGAGGAGGAGGAGGAGGAGGAGGAGGAGGAGGAGGAGGAGGAGGAGGAGCACACTCTGAAGACGAGTGTGCGCGGCGCAGAGGCGAGAGCCACCTTTTGAAAAAAGGAGCCGCCCTCCACCCGTGCAGCTCTTGCAGATTTCAAAAACGAATGCACGCGGAGCTAAGGCGAGAACAGCATTTCGAAAACGAATCGCACTACGGCAGGTTCGTGTCGTGCCGACCCCAGCGTTGGTTTTTGACACCGCAGGGATCGTTCGACCTTGAACGATCGGCCGCTGCCGCAACGTCCGATCGTTCAACATCGATCGATTCTGGGTCGCCGGCGGCGTTCAACCTTGAACGCCCGCGCTGGGGTCGCCGCTGGTCGACACGACGCAAACTTACCGTACATCTGTGACGATCTTGAAAAGATGCAAGTCGACTGTGCACATAGTTCAAGCGAAGACGACAGTTTGGAAGCGGACCGCCGTCCAACAGCGCAGCTCTTGTAGATGTCGAGCCTCGGGATCATAACTGGTGAGGAGGTCTAATGGGGAACGCCCGTCACGCTCTTTCGACAGGTCTCGGGGCGCAACGGGGACAAGTTATACAGAAGGAGAAGGAATGGAGGAGAGGGGAAGGAGGGGCGGACGGAAGGGAGAGGAAGGCGGAGGGGGGGGGGAGGGAGGGAGGGAGGGAGGAGGAGGGGGGGATCGGATCGGATCGGATCGGATCGCCCATCCGCGAAAGCACCTGGTACGAGGTATCAGCTGATGGGGTGCGCCGATGCCTGTATCAGCGCAGTCCACAGGACGGGGACCGGAGGGAGGGAAGGAGGCGGGGGAACGCAGCAGAAGGAGCAGGAGCAGTCGGGAGGGAGGGATTTGGACGCCCGAAGTGGGCACGGAAAGAATTGGCACAATGCCCAACAACAAATGTCGTCCCCAACCCATGGCGGCCGCCGTTGGCCAGGTGGCCTCCTGTCTCAACCGGACCCAGGCCGCGGCGGCGCGGACGGCGAGTCCTGTTCACAAAGGAACAGGGACTGCTGCTGGGCATTGTGCCCATTCTTTCCGTGCCCATGTCGTTCGTGCGGGGAGGGGGGGAGGGAGGGAGGATTTGGGCCGATACTTGTATCAGCGCAGTCCACATGACGGGGGCCGGAAGGAGGGAGGGAAGGAGGAGAGGGAAGGCAGAAGCAGAGAGCAGGAGGGAGGGAGGGAGGGAGGGGGGGAGGGAGAGCAGGAGAGCAGCAGCAGCAGGAGGAGGGAGGGGAAGGAGGGAGGAGCAGGAGCGGTCGGGAGGGAGGGAGGGGGGGAAGCGGCAGCAGGAGAGGGCGCCCGCGGCGGCCTGCTCCGCAGGAGGCTGCAGGGGGTGACGGAGACCGCAGGCCCGCCGCGCTCCACCTGCGGGTCGGGTGGGCGCCAGCGCGGCGCCGCGGCGCCGCCGGCCCGGCCGGGCCGCCCCCCCTCGTCGGGGCACCCACGGGCTCTCCAAGAGGGGCCCCAAGGGGGCACCTCTGGGCCCCCCTTTTCTGTCAAACCCCGCTGTGGGCCAGCCCCAATTGCCACCCGCCTGTCCAGGGTAGTCCCTGCTCCTCCTCCTCCTCCTCCTCCTCCTCCTCCTCCTCCTCCTCCTCCTCCTCCTCCTCCTGAGAGTGATCGAAGCAGCTCCAGGGTATGCCCTGCTCCTCCTCCTCCTAAGAGTGATCGAGGAGGAGGGG